CAGCACCCCGAGCTCTGTTTTTGCTGGTAGAGGGCTGCAGGAGGCTGTCCCAGCTGAAAACGGAGCCTGGGAGGGCCGCGTGCAGTTTTAAATTTTCTTTTAAAAATGTTTTTAAAAGAAAAAAAAGCCTCTGACAATCAGGCAACTCAGCTGGGATCGTCAGAGGCTTTTAAAAGAAAAAAAAGCCTCTGACGATCAGGCAACTCAGCTGGGATCGTCAGAGGCTTTTCAAAGCATTTTTTTTTTACCACCTCTTCGGCTGAAGAGGTTGTAGAAAAAATGCTTTTAAAAATAAAAAAAAAAGCCTCTGATGATTGCGCGGCTCAGCTGGGCATGGGGAGGGGCAAGGATTTTTGCTACCGGTTCTCCGAACCACCCGCCGCCATCGCTACCAGATTAGGCGATCCGGTCCGAACCAGGAGCATTTCACCCCTGAGTTTCTGACTGTTAACAAGTCAAGCTGAAGGTGGTTTAATGATATCTCTCTTCCAGTGGTGGGATTCAAAAAAATTTACTCCCAGTTCTGTGGGTGTGGCTTGGTGGGCGGGGCATGGCTTGGTGGGCAGGGCATGGCTTGGTGGGCGGGGCATGGCTTGGTGGGCATGGCAGGAGAAGGATCGTGTAAAATCTCCATTTCCTCCCCACTCCAGGGGAAAGATACTGCAAAATCCCCATTTCCTCCCAATCAGCTGGGATTTGGGAGGCAGAGAATAGATGGGGCAGGGCCAGTCAGAGGTGGTATTTACCGGTTCTCCGAACTACTCAAAATTTCTGCTACCAGTTCTCCAGAACTGGTCAGAACCAGCTGAATACCACCTCTTCCCGTTTCAAAAGGGCAGTATAAAAGAGGAAAAGAGGAAAAAATCAGAATTTTTCCAGGTTGCATAGATGTACCCAATAAAATCAACAAAACGTCTTCGCCATCTCCTTCTGTTTGCAAATTTTCTCCACATACAGAAGTTATTGGCTTGAATGAAATGCATATGACTTAAGGGAGACATGAAATGACCATCAAAAGCCACTGAATCGAACCTGCGGTTATAATTTTAAAAAATCTAGCTCTGAGCGTGCAAATCAGGATCAACTATGGCAGAGGTGTCAAACTCAATTTCATTGACGGCCACATCAGAGTTGTGTTTGACCTCGGGGGACTGGGGGTGGAGTGGGGGTGGCCAGGGAGGGTGTGGCCAGCTCAACCTCACTTGTGTCAGGGGCTCCTGTGGTGGCCCCAAAGAAAACAGGCTCCTAAGCTCTGTTTGTTGTGGTCCGCCAGCAGACTGAGGAGCTGGCGGCGGAGTCGGACAGTGAGAAGGGTGAGGAGGAATATGGGCCAGTCCTGGAGTCTGGGGAAGGCCCGGACGAGGGCTCTGCGTCGGAGGCAGAGATAGGGCCAAGGCCATCTGGGAGTGATGAGTGGACTCCAGAGCCTTTAGAGTCGGACAGCAGAGAGGCAGAGGAACAAGAGGAACCTGTTCCTATTGCATGCATGCACAGAGCTGCCAGAAGGCAAGAGCAGCTAAAGCAAAAGGGACAACCCGGGAGTAAGGCCAGGAGATGATTGGACCCTCCAATAAGGCTTAAAAGGGAAACAAAAGCACTTGGGCCTTTTGCAGGAAAGCAACATTGCTAACTCTGTTTCCAGTCAGCATCTCTTGTTTGTTTCTGAACTTTGTGGGGCTTTGCAGGGTGTCAAAAGATAAAGGTTGGTGATTATCCTGAAGGACTTCTTCCGAAGGACTTGTTTTGCAACTAATTGGGACTCAGCTGGGAATGAACATATATTCTCAGCTGTTACAATAAAATTTTTTGGGACTAATTGTGTAGTGAAATGACTCAGTAAGCCTAGGTCACAACATCGTTTTTGGCTACAATGGCCTCCTGCAACCCTCCCAAGCACCATTTTTGCTGGCAGAGGCACCGCAGGCAAGTTGTTCGCTGTTTCCAGGGTGGCCTCACAGACCCAATCTAACCACCCGGTGGGCCGCATCCAGGCCCCGGACCTTGAGTTTGACACCCCTGAACTATGGTGTTCAATGTGCTGCAAACATTTATTTATATATCAAATGTCTTAACCACCTGCCAGAGGGGCTCACGTTTCAATCATGAATGCTGCCTTCATTACAATATAGATCATGGACCCCATCCTGTCGCCTAATGGTTAACCTGCCATCTTTTTATAACCGTTCGATGATCAAAGCTACATGGTGAGGCCGACGTTCCTCCTTAAGAATTCACTAGAACGCCCAAAATTTGTACGATGTGTTGTGTCAGAGGTTACACATTGGCCTAGAGCAGAGATGGCTAACCTTTCTGCCATCACGTGCCAGGAGGGGGGTGGGGTGGGGGAGGTTCACGCGCGTGTGTGCCCACACCCATAATTCTATGCGCCCCACTCTGCTCATGCGGGTACAACCCCCTCCTCTCCCCCCCCCCCCGCTCCTGGTACACGATGGCCTGGTAGGCCCATTTTTCTTTCTCACCTGGCTCCAGATCCTCTCTATGCATCTGGGGAGGGCGAAAACAGCCTCCCCCCACAGGCCCTCCGGAGGCAGAAAACATCCTGTTTCCCTACTTCTGGTGGGCCAGAAGGCCCTAAAATCAGCTGGCCAGTGGGCACATGCGCACCAGAGCTGAGCTGGCGTGCCAACTGATATGGCTACATGTGCCACCTGTCGCAAGCGTGCCATAGGTTCGCCATCATGGGCCGAGAGCAAGGAATGATCTAATTAATCTTTTTATGAATAAAGGCAAAAAATACGTGTCCTGGGATAATATTGAACGATCCAATCTGGGTCGGTCACCGGGACCAGAGGTTTAATCTTCCGAGCTTTCGGACTTGTGCTGGGAGCCCATCCTCAAGGAACTTCTCTCTTCTGGAATAGGGGCTTTGGGTTATTCTGTGAGTCATATTTTTGTGGTGCCTTCCTATTGGTTGATTGGTCTGTTGATGGCTGGCGATTGGCTGTTGCTTCCTGGTGCTGCCAAACCCTCGCTTCCTAAGTATTTGATAAACTGGGGGTAAGCCAGCACTCCTGTTGATTGATGAGGGGCCCGTTTTCCAGGCTTCAATCACTTCCCTAACTATCTTTTTACAAGGGTCCTAATAACATTTTCTAGTTGGGTACAAAAATAGGTGGGGAAATAATTAAACTCTGGAAAACAGGCCCCTTGTCAGTCAACAGTAGTGCTGAATTACCATCAGCCTATCAAATACTTAGGAACTGAGGGCTTGGCATCACCAGGAAACAACAGCCAATCGCCAGCCATCAACCCACCAACCAACCAATAGGAAGGCACCACATAAATAAGACTCACAGAATACCCCAAAGCACGTATTCCAGTAGAGGTGCTCCAACATGAGTCTGAAAGCTCGGAAGAGTAAACCTCTGGTCCCAGTGACCGACCCGGATTCATTTTTGCAATATTTTTTTCCCTTGAGTGGGCCAATTCCCTTCTTCAATGCCCCTTCCCAAAAGATAGCCAGGGGGGCAGATATGATTGACCCAAGCAGTTCTCTCCTCCTCCTCCTCCTCCTCCTCCTCCTCCTCCTCCTCTTCTTCTTCTCCTCCTCCTCCTCCTCTCTTCTTCTTCTCTTCTTCTTCTCTCTTCCTCCTCCTCCTCCTCTTCCTCCTCCTCCTCCTCCTCCCTCCCTCCTTCTTCTCTTCTTCTTCTTCTTCTCTCTTCTTCTTCCTCCTCCCTCCTCCTCTTCTTCTTCTCTTCTCTCTTCTTCTTCCTCCTCCTCCCCTCCTCCTCCCTCCTCCTCTTCTTCTCCTCCTCCTCTTCTCCTCTTCCTCCTCCTCCTTCCTCTTCTTCTTCTCCTCCTCCTCCTTCTTCTCCTCCTCCTCCTTCCTCCTCCTCCTCTTCTCCTCCTCCTCCTCCTCTTCTTCTTCTCCTCCTCCTCCTCCTCCTCCTCCTCCTCTTCTTCTTCTTCTTCTCCTCCTCCTCCTCCTCCTCCTCCTCCTCCCTCCTCCTCTTCTTCTCCTCCTCCTCCTTCTCCTCTTCCTCCTCCTCCTTCCTCTTCTTCTTCTTCTTCTCCTTCTCCTTCTCCTCCTTCTCCTCCTCCTTCCTCTTCTTCTCCTCCTCTTCCTCCTTCTTCTCCTCCTCCTCCTTCCTCCTCCTCCTCTTCTTTTCCTCCTCCTCCTCTTCCTCCTTCTCCTCCTCCTCCTCCTTCTTCTTCTCCTTCTCCTCTTCCTCCTTCCTCTTCTTCTTCTTCTCCTCCTCCTCCTCCTCCTCCTTCCTCTTCTTCTCCTTCTTCTTCTTCTTCTCCTCCTCCTCCTTCCTCCTCCTCCTCTTCTTTTCCTCCTCCTCCTCCTCCTTCTTCTACTTCTCCTCCTCCTCCTTCCTCTTCTTCTTCTTCTCCTCCTCCTCCTTCTCCTTCTTCTTTTCCGTCAATGGTCCACCATGGCTAGCTTTTGTGAGGCAAAAAAAAAAACAGCACCCCATGTTGAGAGACGTAGCTCTCACCATGCAACTTTAGAAGAGCATCACAGAGAGAAAAAGTAGCAACACCTCAGTTGGAATTTCTATTGAAATGATTTCTCTTACTTACTCGTCTCCTCCCTCCTTTTCATCAAGCTTTTGAAAACGACAGAGGCTGCTTTCTGTTGAACTGTCTAGGCCCGTGATGGCAAACCTATGGCACGCATGCCCTCTCTGTGGGCATGTACGCCGGCCAGCTGGTCTTCATACACGCCAGAGCAGGCGGCCATGCTCATGCCGGCCACCTGGTCTTCGGGTTTTCGGCGCTCCAGCGCATGTGAAGGCCAGCTGGCTGGCGCACATGCATGTGTCAGAAACCTGAAGACCAGGTGGTCATCACATGCATGTGCATCAGCTAGCTCATCTTTGAGTTTCTGGTGCTCTGGTGGGCATGTGCACATACACATGCGCATGTTCCAGTTTGGGCACTCACTGCCAAAAAGCCATCGCTGGTCTAGGCATTGTAATGAATATTTGACAGGAATCTGTGGAACTAATCTTGTTTTTCTTTGTTAAAACAGACGAATCAAACGCCTGGAGGGCCCCCGCTGCCACCTCCCCAGGTCTGTCGGAAGTAACTCTTTCCCCCGATGACATTGTCTTGCCATTATCTTCATCGCATCTAGCCCAATCCTCTGACCCTTCCCGCCAGATAAGCCCAGACTCAGCTTGGGATATCAAGAGGGAACATCACGCCAACAAACCAAAGGAGTTTTCGGTCAACGGCCACCGGAAGAAAAGGTTAGGCGAACAGACGGAGAGGTCTGCAAGTCCTAAGAAGATAGATAGGTCAAAACACGAAGAGGTGTGGAGGAAAGCAAGCTCAGAAGGCAAGAGTAAGACTATGGAGAGCAGAAGGTCATTGCCGGAAACTAAGGCAGGAGGACTCAACCCAACGGCCGAGGATGCTGTCAAAGGACATGGATGTGCTGGAACCAACGAGGAATGGGTTGGGAGATCCAAGAGGTTGGAAAGCAAACGAGGGGGAACCCTTGGAGCAAAGGATCCTTATGTCACGGTGGCTGCGGAGAAGAAGTCAACCGAACACGTCAAGTTGGATTCCATTGGTGCTACCAAGGCGTATAGTAGCAATAGCTGCAGCTCCCACGGAAGTGACATGGATCACAGCCAGAAGGAATCCGAGAGGAAGCCCGGCGAATTCCCGCGGAAGGGACACGCCCATCCCATCCCAACACACAACCCCAACCCCACCGCTCGGAAGGCAACGGTCTCGCCGGGGCCATGGAAAATTCCTGGCTCCGATAAGTTACCCGGGATCCTAAAATCGACCACCTCTGCCATGAGCAGATAAGCCATCCGTTGACTGTTGCCTTCTCGTGGTTCACAGTGACGCAGAAACATCCTCCTTTATTTCTGTCTCTCTCCCCTCATTTTAATTTATTTTTAACTCATCTGCTCGGAACGATGGAAAAAAAAACAAACCTGAAAGCAGAAACGTGTAATTCTGCGACAACATTGCATAATACGCATCTACGTCTTAAATACGTTAACGGAAGATAAGAGTCATTCTTGTATCTAAAACGTGACCTTCAAATCCCCAGTTTCATTTCAGAGAACTTTGGCAGCTACGGAAGAAACCAAAATAATATGAAAGGACCATTGGACCATGCAGTGTAGCTTTACTTTGACATTTTCCACTGCATGAAGGTCTTGGGATGTGTTTTTTTTTTTCCCCTTCATTCAGACTTTATATCGAGAAACTGGAAGAAGTTAGAGCAATCATAAACTGGAACATCGCCTTAAATAAAACTGCACGGGGAAAGTTAAAAGTGGAAATAGAATATTTTATCTGAACTCAAATGTTGTAAATAAATAGTTCTCGGCATATCTAGACAGGGGTTGACGCATTGAAATTGTAAATCCATGCTATGTCTCTACTGTTAACACTTTGGGGGAAAAAAAACAAACAAAAAAAAGGAAACAAATCTGTCCAATTGTTAGTATCATAATTCATTATGAGGCGCCCTAGTGAATTCGCTAAAGCAGAATCATTTTTACGTCCATTTTTGTGAAGCAACCATATTTGTGTACCCTGAGAAATTAAGGGTGGAATTACATTCAGAAACCTAGCCTCAGAGTCCTCTCCCAGACAGGCCCACCTACAGAATTGGACCTCCAAACATCACCTCCAAACATCACCTAACAAACATCAGGGGTCCCCAACCTTCTCCCCCCCCTCCGTGGACCGGAAGCTTTCAGCTTCGGGTTTTCCCAGATGTGCCAACATGACATCTCTAATAAATTGAAACTTTGAGGAACCTCAGAGCTTTATTTCGTTGGGGGTGTTTGATGTCAGGGTTCGTTGGAACCCTGACATCGGGCCGCGGCATGCTAGAAACCGGTCCACGCAAACAAGCAAAGCCCCATTTGTGGGATGCAGGCAACACACAAAACTATGCCCCACCTGGTCCACGGAGGAAAAAAAATCTCTCCACAGAACCGGTCCCTGGTGCCCAAAAAGTTGGCGGGCCACTGACCGAGGTATAAGAGGGATCCTAAACTACAATTGTCGGATGACCATGATGCGAGAATGAGTCTTGAAAAATGAAAAACAGATATATATATATATTTTTTTCTATCCGAACAGCCTTGGTCTCCTGCAAGAACTCCATCACTGTCTAAATACTAATTCAACTTCTTTTTAAATAGGCCCCGCCTTTGAATTTTACTCCCCGCCGCACTTTAGAAAGTCTAAAATAGATGTCCGCGAAAGTCCTATTTTTTATGATAGAAACCCCTCGAGGCAACACCGTGTTTCCTTCCTTCCATATCCCGCGTCTTTTTTTCCACGTCTCCAGTGCCATAATGACGTTTCATTTGCACACCCGATGAAGTGTTGGCTTGTTCCCTGAGCTCCGCGAATCAACCCTCCTAATTTCTGAAAGTTTTGCTATTTTTATTTTCCTTCAAGCAATAGCAATAGAAACAAAAACAGCAGCACTCGGTAATAACTTTTGTTTTTTTCCCCAGACAAAAGGGTTCTCGAACCTTGTTCGGTGAGAAGAATCCCGTTACTTTAAGATCAGGAGAAATTTTGATTTGATCAGGGGCATAAACAAGAGATTGTTGACTAAGACTCACTTGTCAAAAACCCCGTATTTCTAGTTCCACTCAATCTACGGTCAATTAATCCACATTTTCATTTGTTTTCTTTGGGAGCTTATAAAACTAAATTAAATCGAAGAGAAGGAAAAGGATTTTGCACCTTGGGGGAAAAAAAATAATCAAAAAATGCATATTTAAGAACCTGTCCCGTTCTAGTTTTTTAAGAAAGCACAAAGATATGTAGCTGTTTACAAAATAGAATATCTATCTGTCTATATATATTAATTAAAGAAATAGAGAGAGATATATCTTTATTCCCAGTCTAGATATTTGGCATAATTTGCTGTTTAATTTATTAAACCTGAAATGTAGACAGGACTTCTCTAGCAAAGAAGGGAGAAACTGAGAATCTTGTTCGACTTCAGTTTGCATCCTGCCCATCCCTCTTCTTAATGTGGAGCACACGGCTTTATGTGACTGTAATTGATAACCTGTGAAGGCATCATTTAAACCCCCATTCCAGATAATATTTCTGTGTAGTGTTAGCTGTGAATTTACCTTGTACAGCTCTATTGCTATAAATATAATTCCATGTATTAATAGTCACAGAAAAGCTGTAAGTGAGCAACTATTTTTATGAAACACCACTATGGATAAATTAACTTTTACAGAAATCTTGTTTACTGTATGATATTCTAAACCACTCAAATAAAATATATATCCAAGAATCTTTTTTTCCCAACCGTTTATACCGTGTAATTCATTATGGGGAGGAAGCATCCGGACCTCAAGAATCTTAGCCACTGAGCCATCTAGCCAGCCTAGTGAATCCCACCTCCATTGATTTAGTTCTGCCGTCATTAAGCGAATCACAGGGTTGTTAAGCGATTTGGGTTCTCCCCATTAACTTTTCCTTGTCAGGAGCCAGCTGGGAAAGTTGATCACATGACCTGCAACATTGCAACAGTCGTAAATACTTGCTGGTTGTGAAACACCCAAATTTTGATCATGTGACCTCTGGTGATGCTCCAGCGGTCGTATCTGCGAGGATCAGTTGGAAGCCCATTGTGAAGTTTCCGAAAGATGCCCTAATTAATTCATGAGCCATGAGCCGAACTTCAAAAGAAATACAGTCATTTATTAGGAGCACCATTTCGGCAATATTCGAATGCAGTTAGAACTAATCCAACATAGATTTACGTTCCCCTATGACCCTGTCTCTCCCCTCCTCTCTGGCCATGTCATAAATCATATTCTCCAATTAACCACTTTGGCTGGCTGTGAAATCCAACACCCTCCTTCTGATTGCGGTCAGGAAGAATGTATGGAATGCACTTCAGTTAGGGAAATCAATCAGCTCTATCAGTTCTCCCTCCCTCCTGCTCATGGCAACTTGAAAGCTTTGCAAGTTGACACCCCTTTTTAAAGGGCCATTATACATTTGAGCAGTCACTAAATGAATGATTGTGAGTTGAGAACTGCACCTGCATTTTAATATTTCTGCTTCATTTTGTGGCCCAGGTCCAGGGGCCAACACAGCCCTTGAAGCACCAAGCAAAGGCTGACGGGTAAAATACAGATAATCCTTGCTTTACAACAATTCATTTAGTGGCCATTCAAAGTTACGTTAGTGAAAAAAAGTGACGACTGTTTTTCACAGTTACATCCTTTGCAACATCCCCGTGGTCACAATTCAGATGTTTGGCATTCATTGGCATCCTTCACTCTCAAAAGACTGAATCATGCTCTGGAAAGAGATCCTAAAACAGCATCTAGTGTGATTGAAAAGGCCAATTCGGGGTCATGTGATCTCCTTTGCAGGGGGTGGGGCGAGGCACACAGGTAAAAAATAAACTAGGGTGGGAATGAGGGAGGTGGAGCTGCCCTACTTACCAGGCCTCGCACACGCCGACACCTGCCTCGCAGTGGTGAAATCCAAATTTTTTAACTACTGGTTCTGTGGGTGTGGCTTGGTGGGCATGGCAGGGGATGGATACTGCAAAATCCCCATTCCCTCCCCACTCCTGGGGGAAGGATATTGCAAAACCTCAACTCCCAGCCCACTCTGGGGCCAGCCAGAAGTGGCATTTGCCGGTTCTCCGAAATACTCAAAATTTCCGCTGCCGGTTCTCCGAATTGCTCAAAATTTCCGCTACCGGTTCTCCAGAACCTGCTGGATTTCATCCCTGCTGCCTCGCCTTCTTCTGCGGCTGCTTGCCGCCACTCGCACGCATCACCCTGGCCTCTGTTTTGCCTTCAGATGCCTGCCGGTATCTGTTATCTGCAGCCGATAACAGAGCTCTGGATCAGTTCGGAGCTCTCTTATTGGCTGCAGAGGGCTTTCCAGCAGGAAAGAAATGGGTCAGCAGCGAGCTCCTGCTGGGCGGGGCTGTCGGTGCCACCGCCGCGAGGTGAGTCAATAATTAGAACCCTCCAAAAAGAAGGCCTAGCCGTTTTTTTCAGGTGTCAAATAGAAAATAAAAACCGACCTTCAGTTTGGAGAAAGAAGAGTCTCATCCTCAATTGTTCATCATATGGTTTGGCCTCCAGACCAGAGGTGGGTTTCAGCAGGTTCTGACAAGTTCTGGAGAACCGATAGCGGAAATTTTGAGAAGTTCGGAGAACCGGTAGTAAAAATTCTGACTGGCCCCGCCCCCATCTATTCGCTGCCTCCCGAGTCCCAGCTGATCAGGAGGAAATGGGGATTTTGCAGTAACCTTCCCCTGCCATGCCCACCAAGCCATACCTACAGAACCAGTAGTAAAAAAATTTGAAACCCACCACTGCTCCAGTCTCGTTGGGAGTCTACTCAATTGGGAATGTGTGACATTAATCACATAATGTTTCAATAATGAACTATTGAAACAAAGATTAGGGGATTCAAGGATGAAATATATAAATAATGATTGCTGGAATTGTCTAGTTTGATGAAGAGAAGGACCAGGGGAGACATGATAGCAGTCTTCTGATATCTCAGGGGCTGCCACAAAGAAGAGGGAGTCCAGCTATTCTCCAAAGCACCTGAAGGCAGGACAAGAAGCAATGGGTGGAAACTAATCAAGGAGAGAAGCAACTTAGAACTAAGGAGAAGCTTCCTGACACCTCCCGCCTGGACTATTGTCACCTCCCGCCTGGACTGTTGTAACGCTGTCTACATGGGGCTCCCCTTGAGGAGCACCCGGAGGCTCCAACTGGCACAGAGTGCGGCCACGCGGGTGGTTATGGGAGCAACATGGCGCTCCCGTGTGACACCTCTCCTGCGCGAGCTGCACTGGCTCCCGGTGGTCTTCTGGGTGCGCTTCAAGTTTTGGTCACCACCTTTAGAGCGCTCCATGGCTTAAGACCTGGTTATTTACGGGACCGCCTACTACCACAAGCAGCCTCCCACCGGCCGATACGCTCTCATAGAGAGGGGCTCCTCCGGGTGCCGTCAGCCAAGCAGTGTCAACTGGCAGCCCCCAGGGAGAGGGCCTTCTCTGTGGGGGCACCCACTATCTGGAACGAGCTCCCCCCGGAGATATGGAGGATCCCGGATCTGCGCACTTTCCGCCGTGCTCTTAAAACCCTCCTATTCCAGCAAGCCGGCCTGGCCTAATTTTCTCCCCTTTCTTTTAAATTTTTAAATTGAAATTTTAATTTGTTTTATATTATTGGGATTTTTAATTGTCTCGGGCTAAATTATTTAATTTGGTTTTAATTATGTTTCTATTTGGTTTTAATTATGTTTGTATTTATGTATTTTATTTTGTGCCTGTCCACCGCCCTGAGTCCTTCGGGAGTAGGGCGGTATATAAATTTAATAACACAAACAAACATAAAACAAACAAACAAACCAGTGGAACAACTTGCCTCCAGAAGTTGTAAATGCTCCAACACTGGAAGTTTTCAAGAAGAGGTTTGATAACCATTTGTCGGAAGTGGTGTAGGGTTTCCTGCCTAAGCAGGGGGCTGGACTAGAAGACCTCCAAGGTCCCTTCCAACTCTGTTATTCTGTTCTAACTGGAATTTCTTCATGGGCTTCAACGTTACAGCATCTTGAGAAAGTTGAAACCAAAGATCCCCCAGTCTGAATTTTCTTGACAAGTTTAACTAGCTCTAGAAAGCTTTTTTGGTGGGTCACAGAGCCCCCTGGTGGCACCAGAAGGGAAGCGCCAAGAGATCAGAAGTGGTGTTTCAGAACAGAATAAAGTTTTTCACAACTTACAACCGTTTTACAAGCATCCCCATGCTACAACGTGATCAAACGTCAGGTGCTTGGCAACGGGTTCATATATACGACGGTCGTACAATGTCCTGGGGGTGGGGGTCATAGAATCATTTTTTGCCACTTTCTGACAAGCAAAGTCAATAGGGAACTCAGATTTTTTTTTTTTTAATTTGATTTATATGCCGCCCTTCTCCGGAGACTCAGGGCGGCTTACAATGTGTTAAGCAATAGCCTTCATACTTTTGTATATTTATACAAAGTCAGCTTATTGCCCCCACAACTGGGTCCTCAATTTACCTACCTTAGAAAGGATGGAAGGCTGAGTCAACCTTGAGCCTTGGCGAGATTTGAACCTGCAGTAATCGCAGGCAGCTGGTCTTAATAACCAGCTTAATAACAAGGTGCCTTAGATCACTGTACTACCAAGGAATTCAGATTGACGTAACAACTGTGGCAAGAGTGGCCGTAAAACTCATTTAATGACTGCCTCGCTTAGCAACAGAAATTTTGGGCACAATCGTGGCGGTAGGTTATGTAGTCCTAACACTGGGTTACTTTGCATTTTGCCTATTTTCTTTCAAAAAAAAAAAAAGGAGGAGGAGCTCTTTCCAGAATTCGATTTATGATCATCCCCGAATAGTCTAAAAGTAGAATTAAGGGATTGGGTCCAAACAAGCAACTTAATAGGCAGAAAACATTAGGTTCTCTTCCTTCATTGCCCCTCGAGGATCACTTTTTAATTAGAAAGTGAACATCAAGCACGCTGCACGCTTCTAATAGTTCTGCTTTTTTTAAGGTCTGAGCGAATAAACAAAATTAGCTAAGAGATTATTCTCTAGATCATCCATTAAGGACTTGGCGGGATGACCTGGCCAATGAATGAATTCTGTATGTCCCACTCCTGCTATATATAGTGCTATATTCCACTTCAACCCAGCCACTTTCACCTTCATGAATGGAAAGGGACCAGCTCAGGAACTGTAGATGAGTAAACTGAGCTGGAAGGCAGAGTTAAACGTGTCATCAGTTTGGAATTGTTGCATAGCCACAAAAGACTGGGAGCCTCCCTTGAATTCTGTTGACCTTTAAGGTAAAGGTTCTCCTCGCACATATGTGCTAGTTATTCCCGACTCTAGGGGGCGGTGCTCATCTCCGTTTCAAAGCCGAAGAGCCAGCGCTGTCCGAAGACGTCTCCGTGGTCACGTTGCCGGCATGACTAAACGCCAAAGGCGCACGGAACGCTGTTACCTTCCCACCAAAGGTGGTCCCTATTTTTCTACTTGCATTTTTTTTACGTGCTTTCGAACTGCTAGGTGGGCAGAAGCTGGGACAAGGAATGGGAGCTCACCCCGTTACGCGGCACTAGGGATTCGAACCGCTGAACTGCCGACCTTTCGACCGACAAGCTCAGCGTCTTAGCCACTGAGTCACTGCATCCCTTCTGTTGACCCTTATCTAGTGCCAATTTAGCTTCGACTGTAAGTTGACCAGTTTCTTATGTATAGGTAGCAACCATAAATTGAATTCAACGAAAG